TTTATGGGGATTTGAGAGGGATGTGATTCGGCCATATTAGGGGACAAAGGGGTGTGAGATATATTGGCTAATTTGGTTTGTTATGGTGGTTGAAATATGGTGGTTGTGAAGTGGAAAGGGGCAGGCCAGGGATGGGGTAAAGAGGGGTGAGATATGGTTGTTTGTGATGGGTTTATACGTCCCACACATCTCAACAAATGGGATGTTTTATTCTTAGCTTTGGAGTGTAGTTGTAGGGCTTATTTGGTGGTTAAAATGGAGGGTGTGTATGCTGTTTGGGTAGGGAACAAAGGGGGTCCATGTGTTGGGGTTTATTATGGGGATGATATGTGTTGTTTTGGCTCTTGTGTTTCGGCCAGAATTGAAGGGAAAAGGATGAAATATTTGTGGGTCATTTTGGTGAGTTTAATGGGGTGTGTTTTTGATGAGAAAGGGTGGGGGTAAGGGGGTACGGCCTGGGCAGTAAAGAAAGAAAACAGGTTGTTTGGGTTTATTTTAGGGTGAGGAAAAAATCCAATGAAATTATGGCTAAGGGTTTGGGTTTAGGAGGGGTAAATTCATTCCAAAAAGGATCATAGGATTTAGTCATTAATCCGGTAATTTGTTTAAGGACTTTCGTAGGTACCGGGGGTATATCATCCTCCCCCTCTTCAGAGAAGTTTGTCCTCAAACTTGGGATATCCTCGGCTTCGAAATATGGACTCAAATCCTTGATGTTGAATGTCGCAGATACTCCATAGTTTCCCGGGAGGTTAATCTTGTATGCATTGTCGTTGATCTTTTCCAAAACTTCGAAGGGGCCATCAGCTCTTGGCAGTAGCTTTGACTTTCGTTTCATGGAGAAACGTTCTTTCCGCAGATGTATCCAAACCAAATCTCCAGGTTGAAAGGTTGTGGGCTTTCTTCTTTGATTGATGCGTGTGCTCAACCTTTCGTTCATAGCCTCAATTTTGCTACGAACCTTTTCATGAATGTCCTGAATCTCTTTTGATCTCTTTTCTGCTTCCCAACTGAACTTTGTATCCGTCATGATAGGGTCAAGCTCAAGTGGAGTTAATGGGTTCGTGCCGTAGACCACCGTGAAAGGAGACAGTCTGGTAGTCTTGCTTGGGGTGCGGTTGTACGCGAACTCGGCATGGGGAAGAAGTTCTTCCCATTGCTTGATATTTTTCTTTATAAGTGCTCGAAGAAGTGTTCCCAAAGTACGGTTGGTGACCTCCGTCTGTGGGTGACTAGCCGTACTAAACTTAAGTTTAGTACCTAATTTCCTCCATAAAGTCATCCAAAAATGACTTAAGAATTTTGTGTCCCGATCTGAGACCATGCTTCTCGGAATGCCATGAAGTTTGACAATCTCTCTAAAGTAGAGATCGGCTACTTGGGATGCGTCATACGTGGTGACGCACGGAACAAAGTGGGCCATTTTAGAGAATCGATCCACCACGACCATGATGGAATCCTTTCCTCTTTGAGTCCTAGGCAGTCCAGTTATGAAGTCTAAGCTCACGTCTTCCCACGGTGC